GAATGCCTCGTCAGCTCCAATGTGGAAGTATTTGATACCAACTTCTTTATGCACGTCTATCACTTGCTTCAACGCATCCTTCACAATCGCAACGCCTTCCTCATCACCCAAGCAGAGAACCTTTAAATCACTGATTCTTAAGAAAATTTTCTTTGAAAATTTGAGAGAAAAAATAGTAGGAATCTGAGCTCAATCATACTCTTTTCAAATGCTCTTGTTTGTGTATACTTCATGTGCCATACGAGGTTGATAGGTGGAACGTTTATTGATCGGCCTAACGTTTCGACAAAATCGTCGTCCTCAGAGGCCCAGGGCTCCACCGTTTGCGCGCGTATTCCGCGACCACACGCTACCTTTCGCCTAACTGGTTGCGGCCATTCGAGGTTGATAGGTGTAATAGGGTCTTCCGTCTTAGGCCGATGTCATAGTTTGCGAATCGAGCGCCAGCGAATCGAACGATGCACCAGCGAGTCGAACTAGGTACCAGCGACTCAATAGTGGCGGGACCCAACGTTCAAAGGAAGCCCGCCACTTTCAAACAGTGTCACTTGACAGTGATTCGCTGGCGCAACGCTCGGACCCAGCGATTCGTTAGCGAATCGCTCAATTCGCAAACTATGACATCGGCCTTACTGGCGAACACCAGCGTGTGGTCGGGGAATACGCGCGCATACGGTGGAGCCCTGAGCCTCTGAAGACGACGATTTTGTCGAAACCTTAGGCCGATCTAATAAACGTTCCAATAGACAACCTCGTATGGGCACATGAAGCATATACAAACAAGAACAACTGATGCCGAGGTTCAAGAAGAGAGGGATCGGAGAATACTCTGTCAAATCACCTGTGGATACGCGTCGTTCTTCACGGTACTTTCTGAACTGCTCCAATTTCAGAATCCACTCCAAGTGCCCAAACGTCTGCACCAATGGAATCACATCCAGATTCAGGCTTCTGCAATTTTAGGGGAGTTTTTCGTTGTATTCAGTCAGACCAGTGGCCTAGTGGCCCTAGAGTTATAATAGAAGCTCGGAAAAATTTCGCTCTAGGGTGAGATGTACCTTGCTTTCTTAAGAATGGTCCGCACCTCATCCATTGAGTAGGCGTCAGTGTTTTTGCAATGCAATTGCTAACTGACCCGTCCATGGAAACATGTCCTCCCATTCGAGGAGAATTCCTAAACTGGAACCTTCCATACCACCTGTATATTCGATAAATGAAATTACACTTCAGGATCAAAGAACATTCGTGGTTGATCATTTCATTCTGGGATGCGCCATGCACACTACCTCACCCTGTTGTTGGTCCATCGCAGTCGCACTCTAGCTGTTTTGACAAAAGAAGGGCAAAGCTTTCACTTCGATGCCGTCAACACCGACATGACCCGCCCATGGCGGGAAAATCAAACAAGGGTCCCACTCTAAAGGTTGTTAACCGTTTGCCCTAGTTTTTTTTTTTCACCGTAACACCCTTTACCACCTCCAGCCTTCATTTCGTCGGCGATCAACCTTTCAGCGTATCCCTTCAATTAGAATGTGATTCAATTCATTACACAAACTGAGACTTCACAAAACGGAGCACGCGCTCAACAGAATGGTCACTTCTTACTGAACAGTAACTTTCACGAATAACGTAAGCTCAGCAGTGAAACGGCTGGAAATGTTATGGAAAATGATAATCAAGAGGCCAGGAAAGCGGAGCAGATCCAAATTTTACTGCGCCCATAGTATGTCTAATTCTTCGGGTTCAAATCTTCGAACTTTTCGGCATTCCATCTCCCTGGAACGTACCATTTCGTCCCAAACCTAAACGGCAGGCCCCACAGGATGGCGTTGAGGCCCTCAGGTGAGAAATGCATGGAGGTGCCACTGCGATAATGAACGTCAGTCGAATGCGGGGCGATTTTCACTGGATTCTTTTGGAGGAAAAATTAACGCCGATTAATAACGACATACTGCGTGCCCTATAGTGCCGATTTGGAATGAAATGGTACATTCCAGGAAGATGGAAAGCCCAAGGAATGGGACCCGTGATACGATAGGCAAAAAAGATAAAAGGATGATTCCACGATAGGGTCGAAGATCGAAGGAAACTTACTTACAAGACGGAATTAAGGTTGCGACATGCAATCCGCAGCGAAGGATATGCCTCGAGCGACCTAGCTTGGCCATCTCCGCGGCGTTATCATCGCAGCAAGCCTACCCGACTCACCTCTCGCCGCAGGTATCTGGCCGTTTAGCAAAGAAAGCATAAACGTTGAAAAAGGGGGGACCGATAAGAGTAGCATCAATGCGGAAACCATTGGGCAATGACGACGTCTCATTTCTCGGATTCTTGGCCATTTTTCTTCGTGGTTTTCCTTCATTCCGGCACCCCAACCAATTCCACTCAATGAGCTACTTTCTAATCGTGAGCCCCGGCTTCAAAAATGTAGAGGGATAATGTTGATACGTTCTTAGTTCTGTAGCTTAATGGTATTGGCGTAACGGTATTGTGAAAAGCGCCGTCTCGCCAAAACGCGCTTTGTTACTTCACAGGGAGAGTACATGGGGTTCAAGAAAAATCCCACACATTGCACTGCAGGCACCTCAAAGCAGTGGCAACAGTCACTTGACCGATTCGGAAAATGATACGAGACCAGCCTCTTCTAGAGGGCCTCGATACTACCCCCCTTGTTGCACCCCTAATACGATCCCCACCCCTCGTTGGACTTTGTCCAACGCACGGTTGACCCTGCCTCAAAGTTCCCATCACACAAGGCTATTCCAAACACTGTGCCCTCGGAGGTTTATCGTTTCTCATGCCAATATATTTGCTCCCCATTGAGTATCCTAGGTCATCTCGCTCCCTGTTCAAATAGTCATCTGACCGTTAAAAAAACAGAATAACACTGCCGATGTGCGCCATCCCCCATTTCCAGCCGCCAAAAAATGGAATACGACCCGGTATCTACCTACCTGTGGCGCAGATCGGCTACGGTATCCAAAGTATCTACCAAAGAAAGTACGGCCACCTTCCGAGTGGGGCGCCTATTTAAATCGACAAAATGTACAGATGGATTTACTCGCTTAAAATCACTTTAACATAGATAGTTACTAATCAAAAATTTGGATGGGACTCACTTTCAGAACCAAAATAGGCCCGAATCATAGATTAACGCGATGACGCGCATTTAACCTTAAGAAGATCAATCAACATTGTGTCAGTTAATAATCATCCTGAGCGTTAATCATAGAGACTCAGTACACTCAAAGGAGATGTCCAGGACTTACCCGATTGGGTTCTCGCAAAAATATCGGAGACGAGACGAAAGGCGCAGAAACGGAAAAAACGAACAATTCATGAAAATTCTGAAGTTTAGAAACATACAGTAGTGGCCAGAAATTTATGAACAAACGGTTTTTTCATGATTTCTCTTTTGAAAGTCACTGGAACGTCTCCAAATTTGCAACAATTATTAACTACGTGTTTTATGATCCACACAGAAAATTTCAACCTTCAGCTCAAATTTGGGTTTAGAAAATTTTAGATTTTTCGAAATTAATGAAGGCAGGTGAAAGATCACTTGATCCGTTTATTTGATTTAAATAATGTATAACCCAACAGAACAGTCAAGTAAACAGTCACTAACATTAGGCAAGTCTAGCACATTGCCCAGAACTCTCTAAAGTATTGGATACATAAACTGGATTTGAATGCGGGGTCAACTAATGAACTCACTCTTTAGTGGGGTCTCTCTCTGTAGTCCCGTCTTTCGTGGCTCTTTCATTGACATACGAATTTGTAGGTCCTCCCCTAGTGGTTCTGTAATGTTTGGCTCAAGAGTCTGGCCTGGCTGGTCTTTTAAAAGCACCCCATGCTGTCGAAACCACTCCTGCATGTGAGAGGCCCGATGCTTTGAGTCGCTGCTCTGCTGACAGACAAAGCCAGGTCGTGTGGCAGCCATGTCTACGGATACATGACACCTTCCAAAACATGACAGCAAACGTCTGCCTTCATCGCTACCTCAGTCGTGTAGCGTGGTCCCACTTTTTTCCAAGGCAACCTTATCAAGCCTCCGCCAAGTTTCACAATTGGCAGCTGATTCTTTGGATCAAAACGTTCCCTCTCGTGGTGCCGTACATTACTAGTATCCTTGCTGGCATGCATCAGCAATATGTTTTTGTCACTCCAGATGACCTTAGAAATCCTGTGTAATCAACCTTTCAGGCTTAGTCAATCACATTCTACTCCCACCCACTTCACAGCGAGCGCTCTTCTTAGACTTTGAGAACTAAGGAATACGTAGTATAGACTTAGATTCTAGAAGATGTTATGTATCCGTAGACATGGCTGCCACACGACCTGGCTTTGTCTGTCAGCAGAGCAGCGACTCAAAGCATCGGGCCTCTCACATGCAGGAGTGGTTTCGACAGCATGGGGTGCTTTTAAAAGACCAGCCAGGCCAGACTCTTGAGCCAAACATTACAGAACCACTAGGGGAGGACCTACAAATTCGTATGTCAATGAAAGAGCCACGAAAAGACGGGACTACAGAGAGAGACCCCACTAGAGAGTGAGTTCATTAGTTGACCCGCATTCAAATCCAGTTTATGTATCCAATACTTTAGAGAGTTCTGGGCAATGTGCTAGACTTGCTTAATGTTAGTGACTGTTTACTTGACTGTTCTGTTGGGTTATACATTATTTAAATCAAATAAACGGATCAAGTGATCTTTCACCTGCCTTCATTAATTTCGAAAAATCTAAAATTTTCTAAACCCAAATTTGAGCTGAAGGTTGAAATTTTCTGTGTGGATCATAAAACACGTAGTTAATAATTGTTGCAAATTTGGAGACGTTCCAGTGACTTTCAAAAGAGAAATCATGAAAAAACCGTTTGTTCATAAATTTCTGGCCACTACTGTATATCAAACGAGCTTGCTGCTAAGGCAATGAGAGATTGAGCATGGAGAAGAGAGTGTGGGCAAGAGCACAACGGATGAGAGGACGCCAAACACTAGCAAGCGACGGACGAGAAAAAATGAAGTGGTTGAAGCGGTCTTGAAATGCCTAGTGCCCGTTGCGCACCTTGGGGCAAAACACGACATCTACGGCATTCGCAACAACAGCTTTATTCTACCCACTAAAATGATTCATCCACCTCAGCTCAACCAGGGATGTGCCTTTGGTTTAGCGCACTTTAGGAATGTGCATAGTATTGACAGTACCTCTCTATTTCGTGCTGGAATTCCTGGAGATCCTGGGAGTTCTGCAGGCCTCTCTACAGCTCTGCCTTATGCGACGTCTTTTCCCTGAAAAGAGAGTGTTATCATCAGGAATTCGCAGAAGCAAAGATTTTCTAGACATACAAAACTTTTTCGAAATTTAATAATGGCACAGGAAGAAGGGTCAATAAGACTTAGTGAACTTATCCAGGTCGGCATGTGTCCCATAAACGTTTAGAAGCCCAGTTATACACATCAACAAGTTCTATATGTAGGATGAATTAACGATTTCAAAATCAGGCTTCGAATCAGCTAAAGTAACCTGTTTACTTTGGGTCAGGATCACTACAGAATAATTTATAGTTTATCCGCAGAACAAAACTATTCAATGCATCTCACAGAGCGATTGTGGCACAGTGAATATACGACGTAAGCGTCCTTCCCTCAAAGGCAGGTGGTGCGATAAACTGGAGGTCAAAGATGAAATATTCTATCCACTGTGGAAAAGTTTAGGGCACCGTGAGAGACGAGGCCGAGCGTCCGTTGCGCGGCCTAAAAAGGCCCTTACTCAAGGGAGTCCTATACAGCGACTGTACACCGCCACTAATGAGCTGTTCTCCTGAACGGTATCGAAACGGTTGAAGGCGGCGCACCGACGATCACGCCTACAATGGAAGAATTGAGCACGCGATACAAGGGTACAATGCTTTCCGAGGTTTCAATACAGCCTTCTCTTACTAATTCTCTTCCAAAGCCGCGACCCAAGCCACTTTACTTCATTCAGTTCCGATTTCTCGCACCAATTCCATTTGAGGCATTATTTCTCCACGATTATTGCATTTAATGAAGCACTTTCACCCGACTGCAGCAAACTAGCATAGGTGACATC